GCCAAACTGCATATCCTAACAGGCCTATTGTGGTTTGCTCTGCATATTTGCCACTAAAAAAGTACTGTGACTGTCATAGTAACCACAGATGACCCTGTGTTAAAACAGAAGATCAGTGGGGTTGCAATTTGTGCATCAACACTATCTGAAGATCCTGTTAAAATACACATTTCTTCCACCCACCCAGAGAGACAGTGAGTTAGTGGGTCTGCAGTGGGCCAAGGAATCTGCATTCATAACTGTTACTTTTAGTGCTTCTGATCCAGTGATCCAACCCCACATCTGGAGAAGCACCAAGTGCCAATTTCAGAGATGAAGATTCCTGGTAGCTTCATGTTTCCCTTGCTTGTAAATCAACATATCCCACAGACAGTAAATTCATCTTATAGGTAACATCAGAAAGAAGCAAGGACAAAGGTGACCCAAAAGAGTAGTTTAGCTCTACAAATGCTTGTTTAATTTTTTTTTGATGAGTTATATACTCTTTTCTCTAATTTGATTCACCACAATTTTTCCTTTGGTAAAAAAAGAAAATAAAAACCTTAGTTTTAGAAAATCATGAGATAAGACTCAGGTACTCGTTTTCTTCTATCGTTTAAGTATTTTATTTAAAAAGTAAACTTCTTTTTTTAAAAAATTGACTTGTACAGGACTTAAAGACGTATGTTTTATACAATAGATTTGGGGGCAGGAACATTTTCCTTTTTCTTTTTGCCGTGTACGTTGTCCACTTCTGTAAGGGCTCCGTTCTCAGTGAAGGTGATACTGGAGCTATTGTGTGTATGGTAGGGCATGGCTGACAGATGAGGAATTGGGACTTCATGAATGCATTCTACACAACCATCAGAAGAGCTGTGGGAGGCCTTCTCAGACACTTTAGAATGTACTCTTTCTTGGTCCACCCTGACTCTCTGCTCCTTGTTTGCAGACCCGGGGAGTGACGTGTTTAAAGCGCTATTGCCATCCCGCTACTCCTGATCCTTGCCCATACTCCCCTTTTGTCCATCCTGGCCTTTGATTCTTGAACCCACCTTGAAAGGCAAACTGCCTTTGAAATGATAGGAACAGTGGGTCAGACTGGGGTCCAGTGGAATACTAGGACAATACATGTGCTTCAGCTGGTTCCTGGCTACAAGAATACAGCCCCAAGCATTCCTGCCACACTAAACTCCTACCTTCTTTTTAGGTGCAGATCTCCCCTCCCATGCACACACACAGTAGAACTAACTGGAAACAAGCAACAACATAAAAAAAAAGAACTACCATTACAAATTTCATTAAGGGAGGAGGGTTACCTTGACAGAAATTTAGGACATACGTTGAGGGAAAGAGGTGGTTTTATTTTTTATTTTTTGTTTGGGCAACACTGAATGCATTTCAGCACTCCAGTTTCATTGTGAGCCATTATCAAATGAAAGATGAATGTTGTATTGTCTTGTGTGTCACTATATACTTTGCCATTGTAATAGGAACCTCAGCTAATGGTTATTTTTTGTACTTATTTTTATTTAAGTGTGTGAATCACTGTGTATATGCCACCAGTGCCCATGAAGGTCAGAAGTGGGTGTCAGATCACCTGGAGCTAGAGTTACAGGCAGTTTGTAAGTCACCTGATCAGGATGCTGGGAACTAACTCAGGTCCTCATTAAGAGCAGTAAACACTATTGACCATTGAGTCATCTCTCCAGTCCATTTTCATTATTGATTAATTCAACAAACATTTATAAACAATTTTGCATACTTGGCTTTGTAGTATGCTCTGGGAACTTTAAGATACATAAAAAGATGGGAAATTTGTTTGTTTGCTTGCTTTTACCTAAAACAGTTGCAGTCTCAGAGAAAGAGACAGAAGTATATATGGATTAAATACCACATGGCATCATAAGGACTGTGGTAGATGTTTTTGTGGAAGTCAGTAGAAGATGCAGAAGAGACACTGTAGGGAATTGGGCATTACTATTTTTGATGTAGTAACTGTTTGCAAGAAATATGCTGCAGTGCCTAACACATTAATCTCATCGTTGACAAAATGAAATATCCATAATAAAATGCACATTCTTTTATTCATTCAGTAAATGTTTATCGAGGGCCTGCTGTGTGTGGAGGCATTGTGATAGGCACCTTGTTGATATGTAATAAGCTAGAAAAGGAAGTGGGCATGTAATTCAATTATCATACAAATCAAACTTACAAAAATTAGCTGCAGCTAGTGCAATGAAGGGGAAATGCATGTTACTTGAAAGCTTAAAATCAGAATGTTTCTCTAAGGTTCGGAGACATTACTTGGGTCAAGACAATCTACCATGAAGAAAGTCATAATTGTGGACTCTGCTAGAAGTTAAGGATCAAACGTCAGAGCTAGAACAAGTGGTGAAAGTCAGAGACCAAGTTTCCAGCCCTCCATTCATCACAAAACAGCATTCAGAGGTGGATTTTCATGTCCAGGCCTAGAGACATGGAAGAGCTAGGAGTTTGGAATAGGCAGGATCCCCACAAATCCTTCTGTGCACAGGTTGAATACAGTAATATTCAAATCTTATTTTACTTGACTCTCAGAAATGCCGCAGGGTGAGTTACACAGCTTCCCTGTGTAGGAGTAGAAAATATAGCATTCTTCCCCCTTCCCCCATGCCCTCCCCCCAGCTCCTACTTTGGTCAGGGCTTCTTGTCCCTATGCCCTTCTTCAAGGGACTATGCAATCTTCTTTTGGGGTCCTCCTTGTTTCCTAGCTCCTCTGGCAGTGTGGAATGTAGGCTAGTGAT